ATCAACTATACTACTTCCTGAACGCACTGAATACTATTTCGTTTAGAGTATTAAGTTATACGTTTTTCATGCACAGTGATCAGTCACAACACAGGAATTTTTTCTATCCGTATAGTTGTCCAACGATAGGATCAACAATACAGAGTGATACTACTACCTTAGCGTTGGAATCGTAGCTGATTGTTGATTTGAAGAATATAAACATAGTCGAGCTATAGAAAACTATCGCATTTGACATTTTTAAAACTAAAGTTGAAATCCCCGTTACCACTTTGAAGTAAAGTCTTCAACTTTACAAACAAAATTACATTAACAGTACCAATTGTAATGCACCAGATGCACATTTCGACAGTTAAAGTATCTTCAGTGGTGCTCGAGGCCAAATATTTGAAGTCAAAAACCTGCGACAAATGTTGAAGAACTGATAAAAACAAAAACGACAAAAGTAAAGCCAAACCCGGTCAATGAAAATAGTTGAATATTTCAATGTACAAAATTTTAATTTTATCATAATCTTTGGGGAAATTTTTTTCACAGTTGAATGAAAATTTATTGTATAATTATATTCAGCTGTGCGTTGGATACAGTTAAATATTCTATCAATAAGTTAATCAATCAATTTACCAATTTGTCTATTAACTAGCTTATTTATTAATTTTTATTATTTTCATTTATTTATACACCAGTATATTTTTATCATTGTATTTTTCAATGCTATCTCGAATATTCCAAACAAACTATTTTGGGATATCATTGCTCCTTTTCCTGTTGTTAATTTTTTTTAAATTGCTATACTTGGTACTTTTTCGTACAATATCTTTTTGAACAGTTGTTATTAACGTTTGCTAAAATTTATATAATAATACTAAACCACATATATATGATAACGTAATATTGTATAATTTCATAATTTCCATTTAGATAAGTATAGAATAAGGCGACAATAGTTTACCGATGTTAAAATTTCGATGCGAGACCAGGTGCGTCTACAGGGTAAGCCTGCTATGCATGCATCAACAGCCATGTGAATTCACACTCAGTCTCAATTGGAAATAACACAATCGGTAAATTTACAGACCAGACGACTATCCTGCTATCCAAAGATCTAATACCACGAACACATGTAGCTAGTGAGTCGAGACACTTGCAGATCAACATAAAAATCAGATGGTCACTGTATAATCCAAATATTGTACCTTAAATAACTCCCACAAAGTGTTCTGCTAACTGTATACCGGTAATGTTCTTGCAAAATAAATTTATTTTGTATTTAACTGCTAGAGCCAAAAACAGATGACAGTTTTACTCTACAACATATTAGTACAGTTCTATCCTAGCACTGTCCTAATTAAACAAAATAAAATGGATCTCTTTATTATAGTTTTTCGAGTGATTAAAATGAATAAATTGGCATAATTAGGTTATTCACATCTTTTTTCATGTTAAGATTATTTTATCACAGCCTTTTAATTTTAGATTTTTTACTACCTAATATTTTGATATTCAAGATGCAGCATTATAAATTCAAATGAAACACATCTATGAAAATGAAGATCACTTGACAAAATCTAAAATGTGTATCTCAACCTATGCATAGTTTTTTGATAAAAAAAAATCCAACATTTGATAATAATGTAATCATATTATAATATCTAGGCGTGTCCGTTTTTTTTTTTTTGTTCTATTCTCACCAACCCCCTAAAATATGGACGTTAACCAACTTGCTAAAATTCTCCAATTTTCATTAGAGTTAATTATGAATAAGTAACTTTCAACATACACAATATCACTCAGTCGACTGAATTACCTGTAAAATGAACATTTTTTGAGAGACTATAGGTTTCAATAATAGGGTTTCATTGTAATAAACAAGATTGCACACCCTGAAATATATCGCCTGCTTTACCTATGATTGAATTTATATTGAATGTCTGTAATATGAAAGTTTTACATTATCAATGATCAATTAAAATGAGGTCAAGGTCAGATGAACCACGTCAGACAGACATGTACACCTTATAATCATTCCATACACCAAATATAGGAGTCCTATTGTTTATAGAACACCCTGGAAAACAGACGAAACACATAAACTTAACATTGTCCAACAAACCATGAAAATGAGGTCAAGGTAAATTGAACCCTGCCAGACAGGTACACCTTATGTAATTGTCCTGTTGCTTATAGCAACTGATAAACTGACAAAACCATGAAAAGTTAACATAGAACCATTTTAATTATGTCAAGGTCATATGAAACTTACCAGACAGACATGTACACCTTTACAATCATTTCATACACAAAATGTTATACCCTATTGATAATAGTATCTGAGAAATAGACCTAACCATAAAACTGAACATTATTCACTGCACCATGAAAATGAGATCAAGGTCAGATGAAACCTTCCCGTCGAACATGTACACCTTGCAATCATTCCATACACCAAATATAGTTGACATATTGTTTAAAATCTGAGATATGGACTTAACAACGTAAACTTAACCTTGATCACTAAATTGAGGTCAAGGATAAGTTATCCCTGCCTGACAGACATGCACTTTGCAAGGAAGTCATATATCAAATATAGTCAGCCTTTTACTCATAATAAGGGAGTATTTCACATGACAAACTTTTTTTATGCAAGCAGTCGCTGAACCATAAAAATGAGGTCAAGTACAACGGACATTTAACAGTCGGAAACATCGCAACATAGGGTATCTGCATACAAGGTATGAAGCATCCAGGTCTTCTATCGTCTGGAATATGAAGCTTTGTACAAATTGTTTCTGGATAAAGCCTCATCAGGATCGCCCAAAGCCGAATATTTGAAAGCCAAGGATGTATAAAAACCGACACAGTTGAAGAGCTATATGACCAAAGGTAACTTAAATAATAGTCAATTATCTATCCCTTTATTATTATCTGTTTTTATCTTGATGTGTATATTCTCAAAGGATTTACGAGATTTAAACATGAAAAATAAAATTGTTCTGTCTACTGAAATTTCTACTGAACACCCTTGACGACACACTAATTTTGAATTTTAAGAGATGTATCCGTTCAATTCAATTTTCAATTCTTGTGTATAATATCAGTGGTTAGATGTTAATCCTACATAATTGTAGTTGATCCTTCAAGGAAGTATTTCAAAATGAGTTTTATTAGTTAACATTACCTCCAAACATTTTCCTAGACACCCTCCAAAAAATCAATTTAATTATTCAATGCATGAAAGTATATTAAATGATGATGATAATAAGGTATGAGACACTTTCCATGTATGACTTTCGTCAAGACACAATTTGAATACAATTCAAAATGTAAAATTTAAGGATCTCTCAGCTTGGATGTCTCTCCTACAATTTTTATTTTTCTGAACCATTACTGTGACTTGACTGTTAGTGTTGCTATCCACCTATCGCAAGTTATTCAAAATTCTGATCAAATTGCAATTTGTTTTATAAAACCAAACTGTTCAACTGGTCAGAAATTTGAACAAACTGCTGTAGAAAACCACAGTCAAGTCGTGAAAGTGCAAGGTGATAAAATAAAAGCATACTTACAATCCTATAAGACTTTAATTCCACTTCAATGTTATGAAAAATCAGTCTTAAATAGTTATCAAAGGTACCAGGATTATAATTTAATACGCCAGACGCGCGTTTTGTCTTCCTAAGACTCATCAGTGACGCTCAGATCTAAATAGTTATAAAGCCAAACCAGTACAAAGTTGAAGAGCATTGAGGACCCAATAATTCCAAAAAAGTTACGGCTAAGGTAATCTATTCCTGGGATAAGAAAATCCTTAGATTTACGAAACACAGGAAATTTACTAAAAATTACCATATAATTGATATTCATGTCAACAGTTTGTATAGAAATTTATTGTTATTGTCATGCTAAAGGTGATAGGTAGTAATTTTGAATTGCTATAAAAATGTCCAAACTAAGCGTTCATACAATTTTTCTTTCGAAAAGTCTTCTATATTCATAAGAATCAGACATCATTTGAATTAAAACATCTTATATTCAGTAAAATATATGTGAAATTACAATACGTTGTTAATATGTTTCCATGGGAGATAACCTAAAACATTATTCTTTTAAATATATAAGACTTTTCGAAAGAAAAATTGATTATCACCCATGGAAACTTCCTAAAAACGTATTGTAATTTCACACATATTTTATTGAAGATAAAATGTTTTATAAAACTGTAAAAGTTGATTACACAAATTAGGTACCCACTTTTCCCAGTTCCCCCTTATGTAAAGGTATATTCTAATTTGTGTCATTTGAAAGTAAAAATAGAATATGCCCATGGAATATAGATGCCCCAACCTTTAAGTGTACAATTAATAGAATAATCTATCCATGTACGGGTTGCAATTTGTTAAACACATACATGAATAACATGATATTTGTTAAGAAATATCAGATTAATTTTGTTCAATATAAGGTAAATTCTTAATCTTATTGTCCTCTTCTAATCTAATCTTGCTCAGCTCTTCTGAGTTAAAAGAGATGTCATGTCAAAATTTCAACTTATCCTTTACTAGTGGTTTCAGTGACATAGTTCAAGAACTTTAAATATTTTAAACATGTAAATGTGATCTTACCATTTGTGTACTGGTTCCTTACATGTGTTAAAATTTGATTGAACCCTTCTAAGTTGTTGCCAGGGTCGAAACCTTAAACAGGTCTATTATAGTTATATGAAGGGAGAAAACTACAAAATCATCGCTTAGAGTTTTACATCATTGTATTGTAATCTTAAATGAATATACCTTTACTGAACAAGTGGGTAACACATATCTATCTATCTTTTTTTAAATAAGAAAGGGTCATTTCTCTGGAATATGTGAAATCTTTCAAATTCAAGCTGTGTTTTTATGTTTCTAATATTGTGTTGAACTTATATATCTTGACAGTGGGATACCCTTTCCTGGAATAACCTTCATCAGGAACACCCTAACCTAAACATTTGAAAGCAAGGGATGTACATAAATATCTTGACAGTGGTATACCCTTTCCTGGAATAACCTTCATCAGGAACACCCAAACCTAAACATTTGAAAGCCAGGGATGTATATAAATATCTTGACAGTTGGATACCCTTTCCTGGAATAACCTTCATCAGGAACACCCAAACCTAAACATTTGAAAGCTAGGGATGTATATAAATATCTTGACAGTGGGATACCCTTTCCTGGAATAACCTTCATCAGGAACACCCTAACCTAAACATTTGAAAGCCAGGGATGTATATAAATATCTTGACAGTGGGATACCCTTTCCTGGAATAACCTTCATCAGGAACACCCTAACCTAAACATTTGAAAGCCAGGGATGTATATAAATATCTTGACAGTGGGATACCCTTTCCTGGAATAACCTTCATCAGGAACACCCAAACCTAAACATTTGAAAGCCAGGAATTTATATAAATATCTTGACAGTGGGATACCCTTTCCTGGAATAACCTTCATCAGGAACACCCAAACCTAAACATTTGAAAGCTAGGGATGTATATAAATATCTTGACAGTGGGATACCCTTTCCTGGAATAATCTTCATCAGGAACACCCAAACCTAAACATTTGAAAGCCAGGGATGTATATAAATATCTTGACAGTGGGATACCCTTTCCTGGAATAACCTTCACCAGGAACACCCTAACCTAAACATTTGAAAGCCAGGAATGTATATAAATATCTTGACAGTGGGATACCCTTTCCTGGAATAACCTTCACCAGGAACACCCTAACCTAAACATTTGAAAGCCAGGGATGTATATAAATATCTTGACAGTGGGATACCCTTTCCTGGAATAACCTTAATCAGGAACACCCTAACCTAAACATTTGAAAGCCAGGGATGTATATAAATATCTTGAAACATTATGAGCTATATAACTAAAAGAATAGCTAAATTCATCTAAGATCAACTTATGTGTGAAATGGAACCTCAGTTTCTACATATTTTTTTAATTTAATAATGGGGTATTTTAGAATAGTAAGATATAAATCATATCAGTATGAAAGCACTGACTACTGAGGTGATAATACCTTTTGGGACTATATATCAACCTTTTCAAATGAATTTGTCATGGCTTATTTTAGTGTCTAAGCGGGAAATCATTAATGAGACATAAGTATGAAAAGAAAATGTAAAAGTTACATTTCAATGTTTCAGGATTGCTTACTTTTTACATATCTTTCAGCACACACCAAAATCATGACTGATCCCAACCTTCAAAACAAATCTATGGACCCATATATATCACATATCATTAGAATCCAAAATTTATCAGACAACCACACATCATTTTTCACTTTTTTTAGAATTCATAACTAGGTTTTAAAGAAAGCATTTCATAAAAAATCTAAAGGCAGTTTATTAAAAGCTTTTCAAACATTCTACCTTGATAAATGTCTCTTTTAAAAATAAAGAATATCCAATAGGTTGTTGGTGTTTAAAGCCACTTTCAGCACTATTGGCTATATCATGGTGGGAGTACATGGAGAGTACCGTCGATAAACTGGTAATCCTACCAATTATGATAGAATTCAAGTGCACCGGCCACAAGGTTTAAACTCACAACCTCAGTGTTTACAGGCTAGTAGCTACTGTAGATGAAAGTCTAAGACAACTTAGCCATTGAGGTCCCAATTAATAAACTGCTACGCTGAGCGCAGCTAGATACGCCCGCAGAGGTCCAACCCTGAACAGTTGAGGCAAAAATGGACACAATATTCAAGCTTGATTCAGGTCTGAATTTGGATTGTAATCAAATATTTGACATAGTATAGGTTTCTGAATAAATGTAGTCAAAGAACTTGAAATTGGTTATATGAATTGAATTTATATTCAATTAAAGATTTCTTGCTGTTGTGCAATACTTAGTAAATCTATGGTCAGACTATAAACAAATAAAGTTCAATTAATTCTCAATGTCATATTAGAAATTTATGAAAATAAAAAGGGAGCTTACATCAATAGATATAAACAATTCACCAAAGTTTCATGAGAATTGGTGACAGCATTTTTGAGTTATTGTCTGAAAACTGGAAAATCACCCCTTTTTTTAATGAATAAAACCCCATAACTCAGAAATGTAAAATGTAAAATTTATAAAAATCTAAAGGGAGCTTACATCAATACATACAAACAATTCACCAAAGTTTCATAAGAATTGCTGAAAGCATTTTTGAGTTTTTGTCCGAAAACTGGAAAATCCCCCCTTTTTTTATGAATAAAAACCTGTAACTCGGAAACGTAAAATCTAAAATTTATAAAAATCGAAAGGGAGCTCATGTCAATAGATATAAACAATTCACCACAATTTCTTGCAAGTTGGTGAAAGCATTCTTGACTTATTGTCCCAAAACTGGAAAATCCCCCTTTTTTTAATAAATAAAACCCCATAACTCGGAAACGTAAAATCTAAATTTTATAAATAACAAAAGGGAGCTCACGTCAATAGATATAAACAATTCACCAAAGTTTTATGCAAATTGGTTAAAGCATTTTTGAGTTAATGTCCGACATGTTGACAACGGACAGACGGATGGACGGACAGACGGATAACGGTATACCATAATACGTCCCGTAAACGGGCGTATAAAAAAAACACTGCAAATTCAGATCTTGTTGCAATGTTTTTATTATTGGGAAAATTTTGACAAGTTGCAAAAAATAAAAACTTGCATTTTTTAAAGCAATTTTGATTCCATGATTTGTATGCATTTGTTGAAATCCCAATTATCAATCTCACAGTGTTGTTCATTGTTCAGCAACTGCAATAATAATAACTAATACATGAAATAATTTCTGAATTTACAGTAAATGTATCCCATCATAAAAGATTAACATATCCTTAGCTGTATGCAATATCTAAATAAAATACTCAGATGTCTACTGCTGTTAAAAAGTACTTTTAACAGGGAAGATCACTGGACTGTAAAAAAAAAACTGTGAGAGTATTTGATCTTTTGTATGATTTCCATCACCAAATCAAGTTTACTGAAGCTAAGAACTATCACAGTGACCGTGCACAGATTTAGTTAATAATAAATAAATATCAAATATCATTATTTAATTGTCCAGTGTCATTTCTTGCACTCCGTCTGTCACTTCTTTCTTTTTCTCCTTTTTCTTTCCCCCTTCTTTAGTTTTTTTCTGTTTCTTTGTCTCCTCTTGATCAATTGGTGCAGGTTTAACAAATGGAATCTTTTCTTTAAATCCTGAAAATTTATATAATGGACAAGTAAGAAAATTGCAGGAAGCATAACTAAGAATTAAAATAAACAAATATATGTTTTACAATACTGTTCTAAGGAGGTGCTATGTCTTACATAAGGATATTCAAGGAATTAACACTTTTGAAACAATTAAGATCATCAATTATTTTTATTGTAAAGTTGATTATGGATTATGGCAGGGCTTCCAAAAGATATTTGAGCCAGCTGGATATTTTTTGTCTTATCTCAATTTTAATCCCTTAAGACTTAGTATCAAAAAGTAATCATGGTAATCAGTAGACTATTTTCATATTACCAACTTTTGACTCCGCATTTTATAATTTTTCGACAGGTTACCTATTCTGTAGTACGACATCCTGATACTCAGTCAAGTAGGAGCAACCAAAAGAAGTACAAGAGTGCACACATTGAAATGTCTTGCCTGATTTACTGACCATTGATTTTATATTGATAGTCCTAAATATAAAGCTTTACTACAAGTATCACATAAACTTAACCCGATCCAAGAAAATGAGGTCAAGGTCAGAAAAACCATCACATAAACCTTGAGATGTGTCAGGTTCGGGCTCGGCACAACAAGTCAAATATATAATTTACCGGACAATACAATTGTTTTGGAAGCCCTGGATTATGGGAATGTTTTTGAATAATGTTTATAAAAAAAATTTCATCAATTAAAAAAATAAAGATACTTGAATGGAAATCTGCTTTTTTTCAAATGTTTCAAATGCCTTACATCTGACAAAATACTCAGAAGGCAATCAGTTTGCAACTCAAGCAAGCTACTGTCATGTCAATGAAGTAATTCTGTTCAGTAGTTTCTGACAAAAATATGACAAAAATATTTCTTGGATGAAAGGACGAACGAGCAGACAGACAAATGGACGGACAGACAAATTGTCTGACAAACAGCCTGGCAGACAAAGTGATTCCAATATAGCCCCAACTTTTAGAGAGGTGGTATACAAAATCAATTGAAATCCTTCTCTTCTTTCAAATTTTGATTTGAAGGGATATGACTGAAAATCTATCAAAATAATATAAATATTACCATCAGGCATAAAATCTCTAAGGACTTCAGGTACTATCACTCCATCTTCAGTTTGGTTATTTTCTAAAATTGCACATATAACTCTAGTGGTGGCACACATCGTGGCATTCAACATGTGTACATACTCAGCCTGAAAAAGGTACAACAATTACAATTCAGTCTATACACCTGATATTTATGCAATTCTTGAAACACAAATATGATTATCGATTACATTTCCTTGTTAAGTTTTTTTCATAAAGGAAACAACCAACATAGGATACAAGCTTTGTTTTGCCTTAAAATGTATCCACTATCCTATATTATGCAAAGGGGCCTCAGTGGCCAAGTGGTCTAAGCAGTCCAACTACTGTATCACTAGCCTAAATAACACTAAGGTTGTGAGTTCAAATACCATAAATGGCCGGTGCGCACAACTCCAACCTTATTAGTGTGTATGGTCCTTGAATTATTTTCATTATTTTCAGGAATAGTTTGCGCAATACATGATTGATTGATTGGCAGTTAAATGCCACTTTTAACACTATTGTGCTATTTCGTAGCTGTCAGTTTTTATTGATGGAGGAAGCTGGAGAGAACAACCAACCTTTAGTAGGAAAACTTGCAATCCTAGTCAATTTGAATATTAATTATCCCTATTAATAGAATTATCCCCAAAAATCAATTATTTTTACCTTTAAGAAAAAGTTCAAGACCAAATGAAGTTCGTGATGATAGAAAACACAGAATTTGATGATAATACATCTTCTTGCCAAACATCATCAATCAATTTAACAAAATAAAAGGAGAATGTGTCTATGGGCCACAGATGCCCAAGCTTGTAAATATGCATGAGTCAACTTCCACATACAGATGCAGGATTCACGTAGTTAAAACTGTTTTGTGATTATAAGCATTGTGTATAAGTTTCATAACATTTGGTTGTTGAGGCAAACTAAAGTTAGAGAACAGAAACGACAGATTTTGCAATTTTTCCATTCATAAAGGTAAAAGTGACGCCACCCAATTTCAAACTTCATCTGTGTTTTGTGGTAATAAGCATTTTGTATAAGTTTTAAAACATTTGGTTGAGGCAAACTAAAGTAAGAGAATGGAAACGAAAAATTCAGCAATTTTTATGTTTATAAAGGGGCATAACTCATGAACGGTAAAAGTGATGCCACCCAATTTTGAACTTGGTCTGTGTTTTGTGGTAATAAGCATTGTGTACAAGTTTTATAACATTTGGTTGAGGCAAACTTAGTTAGAGAACAGAAATCAATTTTGGGGACGGACAGATGGATGGGACAGACTGACAGGATGGACATTGTAACACTTAATGCCCCTCCGCTACGGCAGGGGCATAAACAAATTTTGGCCCTCAAAAATTGTCTGAGAACAAGAACCAGACAAAGAAGATTGTATTATTGTTACTTGCTGAAAGTTGAATGTGGATAATTGAGGAAGAAGAAGAACTACTACTAAACAGATTCATTTCCCTCGGTAGGAGTGAAAATATAATTAAAACGTGAACATATAAATTATGTATAAATCCAGTCCTGATTGTTGCAGTAAATGATGACTATCATATGCTTTAAACTTTTCATAAATCATTCTTAACCCTCAATCTATTGTAACTCCCACGCTTAATGAGAGAAATTGTAACTGTTGTCAGGTATAAAGGATATTAAAGATATAAATCAAGGTCTGTGATTGACTATATTCTTTAAAAGATTTTTAAAAATACAGGTGTTACAACATATTACATTAATCTTGACCAAGTTTCCTTTAACAGTTCATTAAAAGATAAAATACAATATGTCATAAAATTTCACTCTCAGAAATAAGTAGAAAATGTATCAACAATTTCAATGATACAACATGAATAAATGAAAAGTATTACTTATCTATTGCTCAGCATTAAGGTGATGGACAAAAATAGATAAAAGAAAATGCACCAAACAGACTGTCCCTAATGAGTAATAATTAGAAAGCAAGATATTGAAATTTAATGTTGATTCATTATTATTCATTGGATACAAAAGTTTGTAGATTTCATAGGTAAAGGTACACCACAACCTGTTTCTAAGCCTTGTATAAATAACTTTTATATTTATATTTATTTAAGGAATGAATGTAATATTTCTTCATTGACAGAATAAAATATTACAGTAATTCCTTATAATTTAATTCTAAATTCCTTTTTTAAGAAATCATGAAAAAAACGTTGATGATTCACAGTCACATGACAAAAATCTATCTATGACCTGATAGACAAAACCTTTCCGTTAATCACGAGACGTGTTACATCCAAAATTATATTATATTACAATGTATGGATAGTCTATTTGTACTCTTACCTCTTGATTCATTTTCTTCACTTGTCCATATCTGACCTTTAACCTCCTAGCCTGATAATCTAAACAATTTGAGCACGAGACAAGTTCCCTGAAGGCACCAGAACCAGGAAACCAGGCTTCAAGATCTAACTTTTTTGATGCTGCATGATTTAATGCACCTGAAATGAATTTTTCATCCGATTAATGAATTCCATGATTCAATCTTTCTACTTTCAATTTAATTTTAATGAGCAACACCCAATTGCGTTTTATATAATCATGAAATGAAACTGCCAATAACTACCAGTTCACAATCATTTGCTATCCTAACATACTTACATAGAAATTTATTAAGTTTAGTGAATAGAATGCAATTTGTGCTACTATAAATGAAATAATTTCTTTTGTAAACATTTTTAAGTATGCTAAAGGTGTTCGTGTCAAGGCTTCCAAAACGGTCATATATTCCGGACATTTGTATAATGTCCGGTAAAAATCCGGCTGGGCAAAGCATGAAACGGTCATCTACTTTTTAGTTTTCAAGGCTTTCTTAAGAGACGGTCATTTTAACATAATTCGCCATCTTTTTGACCCAACCTTTTGCCTTTAACAGCCACACATTTCCGGTCATAAAAGTGACATGATCATTAAGTACTATCAAAACAACCCCTACTTTAATACCATCTCATTTTAATCAAGGCTAATTAGTTGTCGAACAGCTGAAATTTACCTGTTCAGGTGACAGGTAAACTATTTTGAACCGGACATTGATCTGTCTATTCAAAGTAATTTTCTTACATTTCAGCGGTTTGCATCTAATTAATTTGGTCAAAAAGATTTAAACTATCAGAAATACGTTTACAAATATGATTTGATGAAAAAATTAAAAAGGTGAAAATGAAAAATCGTCATAACCACATTGTTTGAACCAGAGACATGTCTCTGTTTGAACTAGTACATGTTTGTGCAGGTGTGAAATTTAATTATGCATCCTAATTTCTTCAAAAAATGCTTAAATTGTCATTGATTTCTTTATCTCATGTTTATTTTGCATATTTTCTTGAAGAAATAGCGTAGAAAGAGCTACTTACACTCATTCATGCTTTGCAAACGTACACAGAATTTACGTATCCGTCTCTGGTCCATGTTTTACCATTGTCAAGATATCATCCGGTATTAGATTAAAACGAAAGTAAAGTTTTTGATGTTATTTTGCACAAATAAAGAGTCTAAGGCAGATATAAGTACGCTGATGTTGCACACTTTGAATGATGCACTGCCAATTCAACAGTTTATATCAAAGAAAGTTTAATATCGTTTTTTTTTATGTCAATCATTGGAATGGCCAACTCGGCAACTGATTACCATAATTGCATTTTGTTTATTTAGTCTAAAGGGATTAAAATCAGGATAATATATAAAATGTCCAGCTGGCAAAAAATTTTGGAAGCCCTGGTTCGTGTGCAAATCTTCAGGATTTAGAATGTCTTCAATATTTTCCACAATTGGCAGTATGATTAACTTTCTCATTTTATTTGGTTAAATTGTGCATGTAGGGTACATGGTTAGTTTTCTTTGTCATTACATTTAACACAATGGTGTATTAAGATGAATGACTTTTCATTGGATAAAAGAAATTTTCAGTTACTGTGGGTTTATTTATTTTTTATGGATGTCAATTTTTGTAGATTGATGAAAGTTGTTTGTGTCATTTGTTGAACATTTAAATTTGTTGTTCATGTGTACCCACAAAATCCACAAAATTGGTATCCAACGACAGAGGTGTTTTCACATCAGTCCTAAATTAACTAAGCACAGGAAATTTCACTTTCCATGTACATTGTGTATAGTTAACTTTAACATTTTTCACCTCCTATTTACTTTGCAAAACTTGAGTTTAAAAGTTTGAAAGAAACAACAACAACAAATTTCCCTAAATTATGGAGTATATCATGATATGATGGGGCATCAAATGTGTCTTTCAAACACAACCAATTCAAGTTGTAGTTCAACATCACTGTTTATCAAGTCTTATGTTAGCAAAATATATTCATGCATATGAGGGAAGCATTATCTTTTCCACTTTAAAGATTAAAGCTAAGTTTGGATTCAAATAGCACATTGGTTAAGAGGGAAAGAAATTTTAATGACAAATGATTGATGTGCACTTAGTGGTAGCATTAGCTCACAATGGTCTAAGCTAAGAAATTTAAATGTATAAAATAATTTACCGGAGACAATATTAACAATTCTGTAAGGTATTCCTAGCACTTTATTAAATTCTTCAGCATTGCCGATCATCTCCTCAAACATCGCCCATGATTTGTTATCATGTGGTGAAGTAAGTACAAACTGTTCTACCTGAAATAAATTTAAAAAAATTGTTATATGGTAAAACCTGTATACAAAGGTCATCCTCATTACCAGAGAATACTGACTGACTGACCTTTTAACAGAGGTGACCTTTAAACTTATGTTATTTCTGCATTTTTACTACAGCTGGATAACAGGAGAGGGACAGGACTACACAAGGGGACTTTTATAGCAGGTTTTCTGTAAAATAAAGCTCAAAACTCTTGGGCAATGTCAGTATGATATAGATGACTTGCCAGGTCATAGTAAATCCTGCAAAAGTACTGAATAAACTCATCATAGATACCAGGATTAAAATTTTGTATGCCAGACATGTGTTTCATCTACAAAAGACTCATCAAGGACGCTTGAATAAAAAAAGTTAGAAAGGCCAAATAAAATACAGAAATTACACATCACTGCACACACCATTTGAAGAAAACTTTTCAAAGATTCAAGATTAACTGATACAAAAATAAAAGGCTTTTATTGTGGTTTTCTTACTGTTTCAACATTTAACACAAAAAAAAGAAATGTCCCAATTGTTAACTGTCGTGTTTGATGAGTAACTCATAATAAAATATGAATACTCAACAATTTTCTCTTAGATATTTATACTACCTTATGTAACTTATGAAAAAGCATCAATCATCTTGGAATAATAGTTAACCAATTTCTATTTCACCCTTGCATAAAGGGTTGTCTAAGCACTGTAGTCAACCACACACAGCATAGAATTTCTCATATGGTATTCATCATATCACTTCTGACAAAAGGATAATAGTTCTAAACCCTTTAAGATATTGTATTGAAAAAATGATATGGAATCTATGCATGTTATGGCACATGGTAAATCAACTCATCCCTGAAATACTTCTAAGCAGCATCTAAAGATTGGCTATTAAATAAGCCACACTTTTAAATTTTTTTTTGTATTTCAAAAAATTCATAGGTTATCTAAACTTTTAAAAATGAAAGAAATAAATATTTTGATCTGTCATATACTTCAGTCTGGAACAATGATTTACTGTAAATAAAAATATTAACAGAGATGTAGCACCTGCTTTCCAGCCAAAAAAAAGTAAAATCTCATTGATTGTAATATTACATGCCTGTTTATAATATGGGATTGGATGCCAATAACCAACCACCACAACTCATTGGATCAGAAAATATAAAATTAAACAGTTTAACTAGTAAGTAAGTAAGTAAATTTTATTTAGAGTTGGGCATGATATGTACACTTCAACAAGGTGAACATGAGCTCTGTAGAGCTCTTAACCGACTTAACTACTTTGAATTCAGTTGAACATGATAATTGTTAGTTATAAAAAACTTGATTTTTTCTATCTGTTATTGTTTTCAATAGATTAGACAATTACTTGCATTTTATCCCCATGCTCTTTTATTATCTGTGACAGCTATGTTTTTTGATAGACCAGAATATGTTTTTTAATAGACCATAATATGATTAGGAAATTATAATCTAGATAACCTAAGAATCAACCATGTGAAATCTGGTTTGAATTGGTTCATTAGTTTGAGGAGAAGGAAACAAATTACAATGAACAACCAACAACGGATGCTAAGTGATGGCAAAATCTCATCACGACCTTATAGATCAGATACAACCTAAACTAAAACAATGTAAGTTGACCTTGAAATGTACTATAAGATGAAAGGATAAAGTACTATAAGATAAATCCAGTAAATAAAACTTCATTAAACTAGTCATCAAAATGTCAATTATCACTTCATTAGTACCTATATTTGTCCAGTAATCCACACATATAATAATATAGTAACACTAATTAAACCTGTTAAAGCTATTAAACAGATCAAATAGGAATAATTCCAGTCATTATAACATTAGCTGTCACTTAGTCAAAGCTACTTATCACTGGATGAACAAGCCTATGTAATAATTAGGTGGTAAAGAAGTATCAACAACACACAAAGAATGTACTATAGAAAGTAAACTACACGCTTTCCAATACAAAATTTTGCATAGACAGTCTCTCATAATCATCTTCTTGTTAAATATAGATTTTCAGGTACTAATGAATGTGCCTGTTGTAAGGAGATAGCAACTATAGAAAATATTCTTTTTGAAATGCACGGAAATAAAACAATTTTGGAGAGAATTTTCTAATTGGTGGTATTAAGTTTTTGGAGTAAGAATATTTTTGAACAAAGGCAGTGTAATTTTTGGTGTTTTGAATTCTGATAACTTAGTTTTAAATTATTGTATTCTACAGGCAAAGTATTACATTAACTACCGGTGTGTAATGATCACACAATCAGACGGACTGTTAATATCTGTGCAAGCTTTCCTACAATTTTTGAAAAGATGTTTGGAAGTTGTAGAATATTTATATCTATTTTAAGACAAACACGAATCATTTGTCGACAGATGGGGGGAATGATGGAATTTATTCAATCAACTTTAAATACAATTGTATATTTAATGAACTCCAAAGTATTCTTAAGATAGTATCATATACTATATATTCACTTCGTAGACTTGTAAATCCTTAATATTTCTTATTATTCATTTAAGTCTTGTAACAATGTATGTATACACTGTAGTTTGAACACCAAAAAGATCAATATAAAAAAACAAAAAATAAAAACCACACACACACAAAGAAGATTGTGACCAGATTTGAACTAGATCCAAGTAAATAATCATTTTAAACAAATTGTAAAATCTTTAATATAAGCATATAATATAAGGATATGAAAAAAATGGGGTGGGTGGGAGGATTTTATTTTTTTTTTTTTATTTCCTCCTAAACCCTTTTATTGTGTGTTGTTCTTATACAAGGGTAATATTAAGCTTATATCATGTATATATAAGGAATTCGCATTATTTTTCTAATTCTTAAATTAATATTTCTGATTGGCAACCACTGTTCTACTTGTAATTGCCGCTTTAGAAACCTATTTTTAGTAAATAGCAAAAAAAATGTTCTCTCTTAGACTACCTAGATCAAATTTATTTTGCTTTCTAAGCTACGATTTGTAGTGCCCATAAAATGAAGCATATGCATTGGTATGCAACACAAATATTATGAGTACAGAGTGAAATAAAAACTCAAACTGTGTTGAAAATACTATGGTTGATGCTTTTAAGATTATTATGCTAGGTGCAAATATAATTACAATGAAAATAAACAGCTGCGCCATGAGCGCATGATACGCCTGTCGTTTTGTGTGTGAATTTTTATGCAAAATTCATAAATAGTTTCTGACATACGGCGCAACATGCGAAAAAACCCCCCTTTTTTTTACAAAAAACTCAATATCTCTACAATAAAATTTTGAATTAAAACCAAAAAGTATACATATCTTTAGATTAATATAACTAAGAAGTGTGTAAAATTTTAATCAATAATCATAAATCGTTTTTGAGATACAGCACGACATGTGAAAACCCCCCTTTTTTTTACAAAAAACTCAATATCTCTAAAATAAAATATTTTGAATCAAAACCAAAAAGTATACAGATCTTTAGATTAATATAACTAAGAAGTGTGTAAAATATTAAGCAATAATCATAAATTGTTTTTGAGATACGGTAAGACATGTGAAAAACCCCTCCCCCTTTTTTTACAAATACTCAATAACTCAAAAATAAAATTTTGAATCATCACCAAAAAGTATACAGATCTTAAGATTAATATAACTAAGAAGTGTGTAAAGTTTTAAGCAATAATCATAAATTGTTTTCGAGATATGGCGCGACATGTGAAAAAAAACACACACCTGTTTTAGTTACAAGTCCTGTAACTCAAAAAGCTTTAATCTTATTTTCACCAAAAAGTATACAGATCGTTTTACTATCATAAGAAACAACAATGTTAAGTTTCATGAAATTTGGACAAGTTGTTCTCAAGCTACGGTGCGACATGTTTACGCCGGACAGACAGACAGACAGACGACATTTGTATACCATAATACGTCCCGTCAAAATTTTGACGGGCGTATAAAAATGAACTGAACCAAAAATAAGTTGATGTCTAATAACTCTATTGAGGGGCTGGGGACAGAAGGTGTTTGCTGTTTTTCAACAAAAACGACAGCCTTGGGGTAAATCTAAGGGCTTGTTATAATACATCTTGTACATTGGCTGACTCTGTACTCAATAAACGGTCATAAATCACACAGGTTAGTGTTTGTGTCAACTACTTTATTCCAGTCATGTTTTTGTGTCAATGTTTTCCACGATTCTTGCACTTTGGATATCATTCACAGTCCAAATTTCCTGACACAAAGTCATTCTATAAATAAAAAAAATCCATGGTTTTCTAATCACTGAAATTTGTGACAAACTGCGATTAGCGTTGTTGAACACCGCCTTTTACTCGTAACCCTAATATTTCGTGCCTTTTTAGTAATCAATCTCGATTCTCAGAAGATAATGTTGTCATCATTGTCCACTTATATTACTCGAAGTAATACGAAACCCTAATTTGAAAGTGCCAAATAAAACAGGAAGTTTTGAATGAAACGGAATTATCGGCGGTTACCGATAACGGAAATGAACAAAATCGAGGTGGGACGATTTCAGAGGGGCGGGCGGGGATGAAAATCTATCAATTAATTTTAATTGGCCTATAATATAAGGAGTCAATTGATGATTTCCATCACTTTCTTGTCTTTCCAATCATTTTGGCTGTTTGCAGTTTTTGTCTGTTAAAATATATATTTAAAGTTTTTAAGATAATTGCCAAAAAGCCCAAAAAGGGTAAACAATCATCATTTGAGGGCAATATAACTCTTTAAGGAATCGATTGACATTTTTAGTAATGTCAAACAATATTTAGATCACTTTTGTTATTTACAGTTTTAAATATATCTCTAGCTATTATAGTTTACAGGTAATAGTCATAATAAGATAAATGGGGAATGTGTCCATGGGACACAGATGACGCCCCCACTTGCATATAATGTTATAAAGGGACATAACTCAAGAACTGTAATAGTGACGCTACCCAAATTTGTACTTGATCAGAGTTTTGTGGTAATTAGCATTGTGTATACGTTTCATATTATTTAGTTGAGGCAATTTAAGTTAGAGAACCGAAACAAAAAATCGAGCAATTTTTCCATTTGTAAAGGGGCATGACTTTAGAACGATTAAAGTGACACCACCAAAGTTCAAACTTGATCTGTGTTTTAAGGTAATAAGCATTGTGTATAAGTTTCATAACATTTGGTTGTGGCAAACTAAAGTTAAAGAATGGAAACAAAAAAATTAAGCAATTTTTTCATTTGTAAAGGGGCATAATTCTAAAACAGTAAAAGTGATGCCACCAAAATTTGTACTTGATCTATGTTTTGTGATAATAAGAATTGTGTATAAGTTTCATAACATTTGGTTCGAGGCAAACTAAAATTAGAGAACAGAAACATAAAATTCAGTAATTTTTCAATTTGTAAAGGAGCATTACTCAATAACGGCAAAAGTGACGCCACCAAAATTTAAACTTGATCTGTGTTTTGTGGTAATAAGCATTGTGTATAAGTTTCATTATATTTGGGCAAGGCAAACTTAAGTTAGAGAATGGAAACCAATTTTGGGACGTACATACATACGGACGTACAGACGGACAAGGGTAAAACTTAATGCCCCACCCGCTACGGCAGAGGCATAAAAAGTGGGTGAAAATATAGGGGTCATCAGACAATTCAAAACCATGTTGACTTATTTGGAGATCTTGTCTTGCTGATCATTTTTGTTAATTTAAGTTTCTATCTAACTGTTTTAGTTTTTCAGATATAAGGCAAAAATGCAAAATGCAAAATGTAGAACCATCAATAATGGGCAATAACTAGTTTTTCTCTATCAATTACATTTTTCAAGCTAAAAGGCAAAAATTAAAAAAATTGGTAAAATTTGTCATTTAAGGGTAATAACTCCTATAAGATGTCGTCTGACAGTTTTAATGTTAATAAACAATAGTTATAGCACATCATTTTGAATTTTGCTCTTGTCAGAATTTCTCTATTTATAGAGGTTTTCAAAATAATAAGCAAAACTTGCATTTTACCCCTATGTTCTTTCCATTTTTAGCCATGTCGGCCATTTTGGTTGGCAGGCGGGGTCATCGGACACATTTTTTTAAACAAGATACCCCAATGATGATTGTGGCCAAGTTTGGTTAAATTTGACCTTGTGCTTTCAGAGAAGAAGATTTTTGTAAAATTTAACGGTCGACAACGAGGATGGAAGACAGAAGCCAAGTGATGAGAAAAGCTCACTTGGCCTTTCGGGCCAGGTGAGCTAAAAAGACACTGAATTTCAATATTTGTATATAAATAATGATTTCTCAGTAATGACATGTCACTAAAATATTTCATAATAACCATTAAATACTGTACATATTTATCACCTTAACAGTAAAATTTCATCAGAATCAGACCTGAAATAAGTTTTTGAAAATTTAAAAAACAAATGTGTTTTTATATGAAATATATAGCAAATTTCCTACTGTCTACCCTTTCATCCCTATACATGTTGCCATGGGCTGATATTTGATTCCTGTGATGATATTTGAACTAATATGGCTATGAAAATGTTGTTAACTAATGTACAATGTATCCTACTGAGTTATATGCAGTCTATTTGAACTTCAAACAAAGATGTATGTTTACAATTGTATCTAGAAATTAACATACATTACAAAGTAATCAGTAAAATAATTATATAAAACACATTTTACTGAATTATGTATTCTATAAATAGTTTTAACAAAGTATGAATATTTGGAGATCTGTGATACATTGCACTGTGGGAAATTATAAATATATAATGAACCAATTTACCTGAATATCAATCAATTATTAATTAGTTTTGTTATATCTAAATCACCTTCGTTTTAAAATTTTAAAATACATGGTCTAAGACATTTCAAACCAAACATGTGTTACTTTTGTTACACTATGAAAATACTACACTACAGTTATTCTATTACGAAGCATTTAAGAAGTGTTTATCATTCAATACATTGTTTTTTTAGCAATTGTTTTTGTGCTTGGGGAGAAGAATAAAATCCTAGTGAAAATAATTATATGAAATTAGGGAGGTTCAATTATTGAAATGTCAGAGTATCTGACATAAAAAAAATTTCACAAATATTTAAATTTATCACAGAATGTTCTATCCAAACTTTACACACAAAAAAAGAAACTCTTGAGGCATTAAACGAAATATAAAATACATTTTTTGACATTATTAGAGATGTTCAAAATGACAAGACTGAGTTACTGCCCTTTGTACATAACATGCCGATGAAGTATGTCAATTATGACTATATATAAGATTATTTACCAAAGACACATTTCAAATGAGCTAAAGTCTGTATAAAGATTTACTACAATGTAATTTTTACATTGATTTGTATTTCACAATATATCAAAAGCAATGCATTTTTTATCAATACAATGCATAAAAACATTTAAACAAACTGTGTGAAACAGTGATCTATCAATTAATACCTACACTAGCTTTAGCTCTGTGCAGGAGCTTTCAAAAATGCATATGTGTTCCAAAACCAGCTATATTACACCTTTCTCTCACTCATATAGAGAGATTTTCTATTACAAATATATCTGCCAAGGATTAGAAAAAAGACTGGTATTAAAACTGATCAACATTGAGCAACTAAATTGTATATGTACACCAAGTCAACACAAATTTATAACTCTCATTACTGGTACTAACATTTATATTATGGTCAAAACTAGTCAACTGAAGTTTGTAATAATGATTCTAAACCATTCCATGTTCACTGTTACATCATATTATTCATTTGGATTTTATTTTTTAAACAGGTAGGTTTAATGTTGAAATCAAGTTTTATATTCCTACCCATCTTCAATTTTTACATCAAAGTATAAATTAATTTTATGAAAAACTTGGACTCATAAATTATGATGTTTACAAATATAAGTCAATATACAAAACGGATGTACTTATTGAACATAATATCTTTGACTGATCTACATGTATGCATTCAACTTACTCTTTTAGCTGACATTCTACAGCAGTTCATTCATAATTATTAAAATCTTTTTGAATTATTTAAATCAAAAAAAATTAATTCAAATAATTTGTTTGTCTATATTCAATTTTGCTTAGTTAATCATAGAATGTTTGAATAAATAATAAAAATGGCATTCTAATTTTTAAAGAAAACCAAAATACAAATTTAGAAAACTCTTTTGGAGGCACAATAAAACATCTTCATATTTAAACTGTCATTTCAAACTTCCAACATAATTTCTTAATTAATTTCAATCATTTTGAAACATTGAGCCTGAATTGCTCATCTGGCAAAAAATATGAAACATTTAAATCATTAGCAACAGCAGCAGTCATCTTTCACATACTAAATAAGATTGTGACAAAGTTTGATCCAGATCCAAAATGGGGAATATTTTTTATAACAATTGTCAAGTTATTCAAAAGGAGATCTTGTCTTGTAGGTTATTTTTGCTGTTTACAGTTTCTCTATATCTATCATAGTTATCAAGATAATTACAAAACATGCAAAAATTGGTTCAAAATTGTCAATTAGGTGCAGTTGATCCTATAAGAAATTGATCCACAATTTCTTTTATGTTCACCTATTTCTAGATCTTATTTGTCTGATTTCTCTGAAAATTTCAAGGTCGATATACCATGACCTGCTGATCGTTATCACCCATCAGTTTTGCTATAATAACTGCTTTAATTTTGTTTTTGAAAAAGTTAACGATGGACAAGGGATGACTACAACAGACATCAAGTGATGGCATAAGCTCACATGGCCACTAATAATCAATCATAATTAATCTACTGGTCTATCCAAATCCATATTTTATAATATTTAAACATTATTAATCAAAATGTTTTGGATAAAGCTGAGAGATGATCAGATAAATGTAAAAAATATAAATCACATGTACATTCTTCAATTGTTTCTAAAATATTGAACTAACCTTCTCAAACTGATGTACTCTAAATATTCCTCTGGTATCTCTTCCATGAGATCCTACTTCCTGTCTAAAACATGTCGAGTAGCCTAAGTATTTGATGGGAAGACTTTCGGTGGGAATCCATTCATCTCGATGATAAGCTGCAATTGGTTGTTCAGATGTTGCTATTAAGTATTTTTCATCAATTGTAGATTCATCTTGCTTTTCACTTCCTTTCCCAACAACCTGCATAAAAATAAATATCATTTGAGAATATTTTAGAATGTTTAAAATCAAATTAAATTTCTTTACCATATATAATTTTAAAGTACTAAGGACGTCATAGGACGTTTTTATTTTGGTCCAACGTACATGTAATTTTGTATGCTAGGTGCAGCTTCCAAACAGGGTATTCTACACTAGATATGTATAAGGTGCAGCTTCCAAACAGGGTATTCTACACTAGATATGTATGGTCTAGTAAACAAACATGATCAAACAGAATTTTACAGCACCAAATGCATTGAGTTTTGAAGTCAAATGAGAAAATGCTTATGGTAAGGACAAATTTTTGGACTTTGCTGATTTATAAAAAAACAAGATCAGTGAACCATGAAATCTTTTTTATACATTTAACAGTTAAGTTAATAAGGAACATGTGTACTAAGTTTTAATTTGATGTGACAACATACTACCCTAAACCATATTTTTTAACTACCTTAAACTAAAACTTTCACCTATCACATTTCCATGTTCAGAGAACGCTTCATAATGAACATGTGTACTAAGTTCCGGTTCATGAGACCAAAAACAACCCTCAACCCAATTTTAACCTGAAAAGGATCAGATGCATGAAGGGAAGCAAGCAAAGACAGAAAAACATAATGTCCCTATACTATAGTAGGTGTGGCAAAAACAGTCAATTCAAAGGGCATGGAAACATGCAGCAATGCCCTAAGACACTAATACTAAATACATAGAAAATAGGGTCTGTTTCACATCAATTTGCATTTCATTTCTTCAAGCTTTTAAATAACAGTTTTGAATTCTTTAATAATGAAGAGAATGTTATATGTAAAGGCTGATCATGGCTCTTTCCCTTTTTAAGGTTGGGAAGGATGTATATTACCTTATATAATTCATCATCAAACTGAGCTAGCTGTGCAACTTCCTGCATCACTTCCTTCCTCATGAAGAATGGCGTATAAAGAGGTACATATCCTTTTTTATGTAACATCTTCATAGATAAATTAATAAGTGCCTGTTCCAAAAAAACTAAGGCTCCCTGAAACAAAACAAAAATATTAAGGATTGGCTGCTCCAAAAATACATAACAAACATTCTAGTATAACCTATGTAAATTTTAATGTGTATGTACAGTAAAAAATGTTTAATAAATCCTGAATAAAATGTAGACACAGAGATATGTCTCGCCTATCAGCATAAAATTTAGAAAAAGACAACCTGATGGACAGCAACATTGCTTATTAATTCAGTCACTGGACCATGATCTAGTGGGCAGGGCCTGAAAATGGTCGACAAACTGAGATGTACAGACATTAATGTAACTTTATAGAAAATATTGTTGTTTATAGTAAGTAGTTCCTATCAATATAACTTAAGCAGAACAAGAATGTGTCCATAGTAAACTATAACTTTCTATGTTCAGTGGACCGTGAAATTGGGGTCAAAACTCTAATTTGGCATTAAAATTAGAAAGATCACATCATAGGGAACATGTGTACTAAGTTTCAAGTTGATTGGACTTCAACTTCATCAAAAACTACCTTGACCAAAAACTTTAACCTGAAGCGGGACAGATGGATGGACGGAAGAACGAAACGACGAACGAACGGATGCACAGACCAGAAAACATAATGCCCCTACTACTATCATAAGTGGGGCATAAAAACTTAATACTGAAAATTGCTAATTCATTCAAAGTCACTGGACCATGACAAAGGGGGCAGGGCCTCGAAATAGCCATCAAACTGATATACTGTGGATTCATTATTATTCGTTGGATACCAATATTTGTGGATTTCGTGATAACAGGTGAACCACGAAATCAAATGTTCAACGAATAACAGATTTTCTATAGGCTTGTATGCAAACTTTGGTAAAACCACGAAATTAAATATCCACGAATATGCAAGTTTTCATTAATCCACGAAAATTGGTACCCACGAAAATATATGAATCCACAGTAAACTGATAGTAATGCAACTTCATACAAAATATCATTGATCTATCACAAGAAGATCCTATCAAACTAACTAAAGCAGAATACTTAACATTGAAAATTGCTAATTAATTCAAAGTCACTGGACCATGTCCTAGGGGGCAGGGCCTCAAAATAGTCGTCGAACTGATATGTACTGATAGTAATGCAACTTCATACAAAATATCATTGATCTATCACAAGTAGTTCCTATCAAACTAACTTAAGCAGAAAACTTAACATTGAAAATTTCTAATTAATGCCCTAGGGGGCAGGGCTCGAAATAGTCGTCAAACTGATATGCACTGATAGTAATGCAATCAAACAAAATATCAATGATCTATCACAAGTATTTCCTATCAAACTATCTAAAGCAGAAAACTTAACAATTGTTGGCGCCATAGCCGAAGCCATCGTCGCAGGAAAACCAATCCCTATGTCTCGCTTTCCACGACTTTTAGTCACAAGCGAGACAAAAAGGTAAACATTGTACATAAAAATTGCAGCAAAGTCCACTTGATCTCTGAAAATCAGGAAATCAATAAACAAAATATCAGATGTACATCATATAAATTAAATGACTTGTTGATGTGTACTCCAGAATTCTTGACTTGCGACATAACTTATACTTTACTCAATTATCTGACCTATCTCATATATAGATAATGAATTTTATCAATTATTTCTTGTTTTGTTCAAAATCCTAAAACTAACATTTATGGAAAAAAAAATTTATGTTCAGTATCAAATGTAATTTTTAATAGCAAGGTACTTGTCCTTGCTTGCAAATATCCACTGTTCATGACACATATAAGAAATTGCAAGAATTGGTGATTCAATGTTTGCATGAAAATCTTTAACAACAGTACTTGACATTCTTTTCAGGGCTGCACCTACCTTCAAATAGTATCCTCTACCTCCAGCTGTAACTGCTCCTCTATCTCCCTCATGGCCATCTACCATAACAACCAAATCTACATGAGAATATTTCTTTTTTGTGGTGCAATCTCCAACCATTCTGTCAATCCCATTCTCATCCTGAAATAAAAATATGAATACATGTATATATTTTCCGTTGAGTTCCTACAGAAGTATAGAGTTTAATGGTGTATTAACATTTCACTATTATATACCTTCCCACAATATGCAGAATAAAAACTGTGGAAAACTGCACTTATTATACAGTAAATATATTAAAATAAACTGTTGACACAGAGATATGTATTGCCGTTAAGTAATTTTGATTGTATAATATAATTTTTGCAATTTGAAATGACAATACGGTACTTAAACATGTAAAATATGCAAAAAATTCAAAGTCAAATGAATCATGACTTAAGATGCAGGGCCAAATAACCTCCATAGAAATGAGAAACACTAATGCTAATCAGGGCTTCCAAAAATATTTGAGCTAGCCGTACATTTTTTCTTTGTCTTATTTTGATTTTAATCCCTTAAGACTTAGTAACAAAAGGTAACCATAGCAATCAGTTGGGCATCATGTAAATTATGATTGACGCAAAAAAAAACTTGATTTTTTATATAAATTCGATGTTCTGGCGTTAACTGATAAATTGACAGTGCACCATTCGAAGTGTGCAACACCAGCATACTAATATCTGCCTTAGACTCTTTATTTGTGCAAAATTACGCTGTTAATTACTTCACTTTCGTTTTGAAAAAGTACATTTTCCTAATACAGGATATTGACTTGACAATGGTAAAACACTGACCAGAGATGGATACGTAAATTCTGTCTACGTTTAAAAAGCACGATTGAGTTTAAGTAGCTCTTTCCAGCTCTTTCCGAGTTATTTCTTCAGGAAAATACTCGAAATGAACGTTAGATAAAGGTATCAATGATATTTTTAGCATTTTTGAAAATTTGGATGCATAATTAAATCTCACACCTGCGCACGAGTGTACTAGTTCAAACATTGTGGTTCTGACGATTTTTCACTTAAAACCTTTATTACTACCTTTTTAAATTTTCATCAAATCATATTTATATACGTTTTCTGATTATCTAAATATGGTTGACTAAATTAATTAGATGCAAACTGCTGAAATTTAAGAAAATAACTTTTAATAGACTGATCAATGGTCGGGTACAAAATAGTTTACCTGTTGCCTGAACAGGTAAATTTCAGCTGTCAGATAACTAATTAACCTTCATTGTAATGAGAGGGTATTAAAGTAGGGTTTGTTTTGATAGTAATTACTCATCACGTATATATACGTTTCCGGAAATTGGCATTACTTTTCCGGGAAAAAAGGTCTACGTTTCCGGAAATAAATACCTTACTTTTCCGGGAAAATAGTAACGATTCCGGAAAAAATAAATTAAAATAATTAAGGAATACCACAGTAGTACATTCACCGTTTAAAAGTTTTGTGTTTTGTTCAACAAGGAAGTCCATCTTCTCCTTTTCATATTTTCGAACGGGTGCTTTTATAGATAAAGTTCTCATCTTTATGTATGATGTTGTTTGCAGTTTTAATAGCACATCGACAAAGACAAAAATGTAAAACTGCTCGTTCAAGTGGGCATGAAAAGACTCTGCACCATTCTCCTCGGGGACAGGAGGTGATGCCCAAATGGTTAGTGGAAATCTCGAATTGCCATCTATATAAAATTCCAATATGTAATCTGCAAACTTCATGCATTTATCATCAGATGGAGCATCTGCTATTAGTTCTACAAAGCATTCTTCAATCTTATTGTTTGGCAAGTAAGCCAAACCAAAGACATGTGTTAGCCATTTTCCAAATCCGAATCTTTGTCCTTGTAATCGGCACTAAGACCTATCGACTAAATTTTACGCCACCAACTTTGTCCTAAATGAAACCTGCAACAACTGATTGTAGCAGCATGAAATGAATAAGATCAGAACCTTTTTTGTATAAAAATATAAAATAAATAATTTATCTAACATATATTCAAATATTTATAATTTACTACCAGGTAAATTTCCGGAAAAGTAATAAATACAAATTCTGGAAACGTATACTTTAAGTTTCCGGAAACGTAGTATTGGAACATTGAAAAATTAGCGGAAACGCAATACGCCCGTCACATATATGACCGGAAATGTGTGGCTGTTTAAGGCAAAAGGTCAGGTCAAAAAGATCGCATAAACTTTTTTTTCTGAACTATGTTTAAATGTCTGTTTCAGCCTCGGCACAACAAGTCATTTATACAATTTACCGGATAAGTCTAGACAATACGACTGTTTTGGAAGACCTGATGCTAATACAGCTGCATACCAAATACCCTTCACTTTTATATAACTGGTTCCCTTTTAACTGACCTAAACACAAACTTTAATATGTAAACTATTTTGGTTTTTCAGTCATTTGGTCTCTGGTGGAGAGTTTTCTCATTGGCAAATACACTACATCTTCTTATCTTTATTTCCAATAGTTTCAAAGTCAACTCACTAATGTACTAAATATCAGATCCAGATCTGTAGGCATTACAAAAAAAAAATATGTGTCTGGACAAGTACAAATTTCATGAAATTTTCCAAATCCAAGTCCAAGGGTTGCAATGATTGCAATCCTCTGAAAAGACATTCAACAGAATGAAACTCAAATTCAATATGTTATTCATTTTCAAACACAAATGTACCAAAATCAGATCAATATTTGTAGGCAAAGGAAAAAAATTCTGGACATATGCTTGATTTCAGAAGAACGGATTGCAGTAGCATTATATTCCCCAGCCTCTTTTTGACAGTATGAGGCATAAAAATTAGGTAACCATATTTTTATACAACAGTCATTCTCAGGTTATTTTGGTAATATATCTGCTTGTAATTTCAGACATTTAATTTATCAAATTGAAGGTAACTGACAAGACAAGAGATCCCTCCCATTCAGTCTCCAATCAACATGTAGTATGTACACTTGAAAAATTACAATACTGGTACCTCATCATTGCTTATAATACAGGATTCATGAAGATGATTTCCTATTTCTCTCATTGATTCATTTCTCTCTTTTTCATGGACGATCACTGTTTCATCATTTTTCTTCATAAGGTCATCAATCATGATTCTGATCTGTTTAATTTGTACTACTGTGTATGTCTAAAATTAAAAAAAAACAAAGCATATAATGGGTTCTAGTCATGTAACACACTGCTATTTTATTGTTATTAATATAATAATCTGTATTGTCACTCACAAACATGCCCCTCCTCCAATATTCTTTATGAGCCTGTCCTAAGTCAGGAGCCTATAATTCCGTAGTCATCTTTGCTTGCTGTACTCACATTTGTGTTTTGATAATTATTTTAAGCATAAATTAAGCAGTTGGTTTTCTCTTTTGAAGTGTTTCGCTGTTTTTTCATGCTGGACCTTTAATAACTCAATATAAGGTATGAGTTTTGCTCATTGTTGAAGGCTGTACAGTGACCTATAGTTGTTTACATTTTTGTCCTTTGGTCTCTATAGATAGTTGTTTAATTGGCAATCATACTACATTTTATCTTTATACAGCAGTTATTTCCACTTTGAGGAGATTTTCTAACTGATGAATAACATATTGTCTTCAACAACAAACGGGGTCTATACAATGTCAAGTCTAAATCACCTTGCATCTAAATAATTGTGAACAATTCAGTGTTTTATTTACCTGTTTAGGAACAATTATTTTTTAATATTTTTTGCCGGTTGAATCAAAACCAGAAATTCAAAGGAAAACTAGAGGCTCTAAAGAGCCTGTGTCGCTCACCTTGGTCTATGTGAATATTAAACAAAGGACGCAGATGGATTCATGACAAAATTGTGTTTTGGTGATGGTGATGTGTTTGTACATCTTAATTTACTGAACATTTTTCCTGCTTACAATTATCTCCATCTATAATTAACTTGGCCCAGTAGTTTCAGAGGAGAAGATTTTTGTAAAAGATTACTAAGATTTACGAAAAAATGGTTAAAAATTGACTATAAAGGGCAATAACTCCTAAAGGGGTCAACTGACCATTTCGGTCATGTTGACTTATTTGTAGATCTTACTTTGCCGACATTTATTGTTTTTTACAGTTTATCTCTATCTATAATAATATTCAAGATAATAACCAAAAACAGCAAAATCACCTTAAAATTACCAATTCAGGGGCAGCAACCCAACAACGGGTTGTCCGATTCATCTGAAAATTTCAGGGCAGATAGATCTTGACCTGATAAACAATTTTACTTCATGTCAGATTTGCTTTAAATGCTTTGGTTTTTGAGTTAAAAGCCAAAAACTGAATTTTACCCCTATGTTCTATTTTTAGCCGTGGCGGCCATCTTGGTTGGTTGACCAGGTCACGCCACACATTTTCAAAACTAGATAACCAAATGATGATTGTGGCCAAGTTTGGTTAAATTTGGCCCAGTAGTTTCAGAGGAGAAGATTTTTGTAAAAGTTTACGGACGACGGACGACGGACGCAAAGTGATGAGAAAAGCTCACTTGACCTTTCAGGTCAGGTGAGCTAAAAAGAAATATTTTTTTAGGGTTAAATACCTTGTGAGTCCTTCAGACTGGTACAAAGGAAGTTTTAACAAGACTCTTCAGTGTTCCTCTCAAGACTTTTTTATAGCACTGTGGTAAGCGAGTGATATAAGACAGATTCACCTTTTGTATTGCCAAATGATTTTTTATTTGTAATGCAACGTTGGTTACATTAAAATAAACTATAAAAAGAAGTTTTTTATAAACAAATGTTTACACAGAGAAGGAGATAACTCTCATTTTCATGAGATACTATACTAATAATTTGAATGCATGTATTATAAATATGAATATTATCGAACATTGTTTAACTGGAATAATTCAATGTTCATGTACTTTTCTATATGATATGCAAGGATCTCCATAAATACCGGAACACAAAGCTGATAATTTCAGAATTACAATTCAGCATCTAATTTTTTTGTCAAATTTTCATATTTCTAGTTACAGTGGCAGCTATATTTGAAAGCAGTTGGGTCTTCAAACACAAGTGTATCCTTTCTTCCAAGTTTTATCATTAATGCATGAATTAGCTTCCAATTTTGTATACAATAGATCAAATAATAAATGCAGAATATTAATAATCTTAGTATAATATACACACCTTTACTTGGTCAGCTGTCAGATTTTCTATTGTGTCTGCAAAGCCGTCAGGTAATGATTCATTATCTCCTTGTGGTTCTTTGTTCTATAATTATGAATAAAGATCATGTACAGACTTTTACTAAAACATTTAAGTTCATCTTCTATGTTTACTAATCAAGGACAAACATATTGTGCCCATAAAACACAGATGTCTGTCACAGTCAGGCCTAAGAACAACTCTGAACAAAGAGCTACAACATTACATATATAAAATCGATTGCATTATGACGACCATTTTCAATCTTTAAACTAATAACGATTTCTTAAATTTCATAATATTATAAGATAAGAATACATTTACTAAGCTTCAAGGTATATTCTAAAATTCTATGTCCATACAAATTTGTAATCTTTTGGAAAAAATTTGTCCAGGCTTAAAAAGATGTAATTACAACCCTGTCAATTGTTGTCACTAAATTTTGTACATATATGTGCACATTTTAAAGATATACATATTCGGTAAACAGGAAGTAGAACATTGAAGTAACTGAAAACATTTCACACTATATGAATCTTGGAGTGATATAGAATCTGTAGTTGCTGAGAAAATGCAACAGAAATGTTTTATGGACAGACAGATGTACAGACAATGGTTAACCAGTATACCACCTTTTTTAGAGGCAGGGGATAAAAAATGAAAATATATACCTTCATTTTTTCTCCTATAACTTTACTGCACATATTTTTCTTCTGATTGAGCAAATCAGCCAAGAATCTTGCTGAAAAAATAGAAATTAGAAATATGCTTTATACATATCTGTATATGTCATGCATTTAATTATTTGTACCTAACCAATGAAATCAGCTGCTACAAAAGATTCATCACAGAGTGAGTTATAAGAGTGTTCTTGCTGTAACAATGACATACATTTGTAACATATAAAATGAATATGCATACAAAGGCCTCTCTGTGAAGTTGGCATGAGAAAAAACAATAAAAGTATTGTTCTTTTGATCAGATATTTATCAAGTGTGTGTCAGGATTTTGTGTATAGAATTTAAACACCTCATCCCTTGTTTTATATCATATTGACAAGAGTTTGTCCCACAGTGTGAAGGCTATAGAAATTTTCCCCATGTCTGACATGCTCTCATATTTTAACAGATACAATTATGGTGTATATTCTTTAGTTTTTTCTCCTATATGTAATATCTCACTTTTCCTCTATTGGGTTGTATTTTTCAATGTAAGATGTTTTGGAAAAACTACCAGTTCAGCCATAGTCGTTTAAGCCATACCATCTGTTTGGCCATACTTGTAAAGTCATTTCGGACATGTTTTATTGTTATAAAGGGAGGAAAATATCTATGTTTTTAGAAGCATATGTTAAGAAACAAATGGAAAAATACATTTTAATCATACATTAATACCCATTGACAAAAGTGTATATCTAATTATGAATGTTATATGTATAAGAATATTTCTTTTAAAAAATGGTGCATTTATTAAACAAAAAATCATGTTTAATTTACAGAACAAGGCATGATTGTTATTTAAAAAGTGCAGAAGATCATGGTTTTTATCTTAATAATAATGATCCTTCTGATAATTTGTTAATTGTTAATTATCATTTCTTTGATATATCTCAAGTATTAATTATGCAGTTATCAACATGATCAAGTAATGGTTGAGAAAATACCAAACAAGATAACTATAAAACAGAAGGACTCAAGCTGATTCAAACTTACAGTTGGTAAACATATATATTCTTTTAACAATACAAGCTGCTTGAGTAGCCCTTTGAAGTACCGACCATGCATGTAGCATAAATGAAACACAAAATGCATGATTCAATAAAAAGAAAAATCATATCCAAACAGTCAGTCAGCTCTCACTGGTAATGGTTTTTAGATTTTATGCAGTCGTTGGTGTCTATGTTTCTCTTACTTATGTTTGTTACAGAAAAAATATTTACATGATATTCGATTCAGAATGGGTATTATTTATTTTGGTCACAAATGACGAATTGTTATTTTCTTTTTTCTGTCATACAAAAATATGTATCAATCAAGCACCAAAGTCATTTGCAGGCCTCTACATTATCATTTTTTCTAACTTGTCCATTGCAAGAAAAATCAACTTTTCCGACCTCTTAACTCACTTGTCTGAATCCAAGGTTAAAAATCTTAAACATTGATAATATGCACAGTCACACATTGGGCTTTTAGTGTACCTGATGAAGGCAGTAATTTGTTGTGTTATATAAATTTGTCTGTAACTAAACAAAAAATATTACAACAAAAATTGCCAGTATCACCAGGTTTTTGGCTATATCCTCAATTTCCAGATTTCAAATTAGGGGGAAATTTGATTTTCTGAACCTGTAATTTGTACTGTTTGTTTGTTTTGAATATAAGATAAAAGAGACCCTTTAGACACTAAAATATTCAAGAAATTATTGTTTTTAATGGGTTTTTTTCACTATTGTCTTATAAATACTAATCTTCAAATTTCCCCAAAACACTTTATAGTGTTCATATAAACGGATTCTTAAACTTCCCCCAAAACTATAAAACACAGTCGTTCAAAGTTATGAAAAATGACTGAAATCTGTCCTTTATTCACGTACTGTTAATAAACTGGTTATATCAAATTTCCCTGGGTGGGGGATGAGGATGAAAAGAACATATCCATTCTTTAGTCATATGGGTGCTGCTACAACATTGAATCATGATTTTCTTAAATCAATTTTTATTTTGTTTCTTTGCTGGTAAACAATCAATATACATGTGTAAAAACACCTTGCTAATCCCATCTGATTAAAACATATTAAAGATCTCAATTTCAACGACCCAGATCTCTCTGGATTTATCACTTGATATGAAAGCTTCCGTGAGTCCGCATGATTTATCATTGATTTCCTTCCCCTTACTTACACTCCCCTGGTTCAATCAATGAATTTAGATTTCGTATGATCTGATCAATAAAAAAAAAGTTCAAGTTTTAGGCATTTGTAAGTCTTGAAAGTTTTACATGTTTTATATCATGGATTTTTCACTTGTCCCTTCGGACAACTAATATGGTGATTCTATTTGTCCGACGCCTATGTCCACTTGTTACGGACAACCGGTAATGTCGAGCCCTAATATGGAAAGTTGTTAATGTCTTTATCATGTGTGACATATATTTAACAAAAGTCTTGTCTCCTTCTCAGATGCACATTTTTTAATGAATTGACTTTTTGTTAAATAATCTTTCTTTTCAATACAAACTGTCAAAAAAAATTAATGTATATATAGATGTTCAGAAAAATACGAAAAAGTGTGGCTGATGTGTTTGAATACCAAGTCTGATTCCGGCATTATATACCCCCTACCGGAAGTTCACTACTTTCTATATGTTTGGTTGTAAAATAAACAGATACATTGGGTTTTTAGTTAATTTAGTTAAGAATTTTTTGCATATCTATTCGGGTTGGTCGGGTAACTGGAACCACACAGATATTTTTATTTGGCCTAAAGTGTATTTTTCATAGAACATGTAGTCATTTGTAGAAATTGTTCTGCAATCGTCCCAAACTATTTTTCCTCTTCATACATTGTTTCAAGACATTTCAACTTTATTTCAGGGTTTCGACTACATTTTAGAGTTATTTTTTGGAATTAGTACCAATGTACAAATAAACAGCTGCGCCATGAGCGCATGATACGCCCGTCACCTGGTGTGTGAATTTTTATGCAATAAGCATAAATAGTTTCTGACATACGGCGTGACATGCGAAAACCCCCCTTTTTTTTATACAAAAAAACTCAATATCTCTAAAATAAAATTTTGAATAAAAACCAAAAGTATACAGATCTTTAGATTAATATAACTAAGAAGTGTGTAAAATTTTAAGCAATAATCATAAATTGTTTTTGAGATACAGCGCGACATGTGAAAAACCCCTCCCCCTTTTTTTACAAAATACTCAATAACTCAAAAACAAAATTTTGAATCATCACCAAAAAGTATACAGATCTTAAGATTAATATAACTTAGAAGTGTGTAAAGTTTTAAGCAATAATCATAAATTGTTTTTGAGATACGGCGCGACATGTGAAAAAAAACATACACCTGTTTTAGTTACTAAGTCCCGTAACTCAAAAAGTTTTAATCTTATTTTCACCAAAAAGTATACAGATCGTTTGACCATCATAAGAAACAACTATGTTAAGTTTCATGAAATTTGGATAAGTCATTCTCAAGTTACGGTGCGACATGTTTACGCAGGACAGACAGACAGACAGACGGACGGACGGCGGACATTTGTATACCATAATACGTCCCGTCAAAAATTTGACGGGCGTATAAAAATGTATTTTAATTTACTTAGAATTTTCATGTGATTGCATCATCAATACATCATATGGTTATCTTTTTAGTTAAGATTGAAAAAATATATCTGTTCGATTCTCAAAAATGAAAAACTTCAATAAACAGTATTAAGTAGCTTCGCCTGACTTTTTAAATGGAAATGAAGGAATTAGCTTGGTCTGAAAATAAGTCATTGGTGATTCATGACGGACTACCTTTTCTCCAGAGTTTGTCATGTTCAACGACTTTATCAACTAAAGTCACATCTTTAAACCGTTTGGCTTGGTTCTCTCGAATTTTAGATGGGTCTCCACCCTTCTCTGCGCGGAATAATTCAATATCTAACACCATTTTCAGTCCAGTCAATTCAGCTGTCAAGACCGGTCCAACGTGTGAAAATTTAGCAATAGTTCTCTGCCCTTGTTATAATCATTGTTTTCATAATGCTAATGTTACATTTCTTATCTTTAAACGCAAAGGTGATACAGTTATTTCGACAGACTTAACAAGTAAAAGCTTTTCTAAAAAGCTTTCCGTCTAATAGTTCGGCGCAAAAATCAAAACTAGATGGAGTTACAAATTCGTGATAGCTTTACCAACTTTAGTTAAGATAAAATCTGTATTACTGTACTTGGTGATTGCACAAACTGAGAAGTTTCAGAAGTGTTTTATTCATTTTTTTAGTGTAAACGGTGCGGCCAAAAATATTGACACAGATTATTTTCAACGAGAGTAATCATCCTTGTTTAAAGAAGTTTTTTCATAGATTAACTAATATGAAGACATTAGTTGTCAAATTCAAGTTCATATTTGATTTAAAAATAAAAGTATATCCCCCAAAAAATGTCCAAAACACTGGCACAATAAATAATGTACATATATCAGTATTTCGTGTGTATTATCCACAGGCACGTAATTGTCTTTGAAAAATGTCACCCGGTCGCTAACTTCCTTTATATTTCGATTTCTTGGTTGTCAACTCCACTAAAACTTTATATGCCGTAAATTTAAAGTGATTTATCTACACAATGGTGTATAGTATGCCAACCTTTTTTGTCGGAATAATTCGTAGCAGGCCTCCCCAAGTATGTCAAAAGTAATTATTTCATCTACCCACAGCCGATTGGAAATATAAGACTCGCAGTAAATGATTAATTATAATTGTCCCTGTGGTATCTTTCCCCTTTCTTGTATATATATATATATATCATATATAGCTCGGTTTCCAATTGGTCAATTTTTATGGGAAAGTCTATTGCTAAAAATAAATGTTTCTTGGAGTGATCTCATTTTATATGTATCCATAGAGAGTCTGAATGATGTTGAAGGAATGGGAAAATTTGGGTCTAAAAATAGAAACTCGTAACTCATTAGACATACCTCAAATAACACTCGTTAGATTTTTTCACGGAATCTTTTACAAATTTATGGTGTAGATAAATCAATTTAGATTTACGGCATAACAAGTTTTAGTGGGGTTGACAACCGAGAAATCGAAATATAAAGGAAGTTCGCGACCGGGTGACATTTTTCAAAATTTCGAGTTAAGTACCTTGTGTTATATTAATTACGGTATACATATAGGAAAAAATTTTCAGAGACAAGTGCCTGTGATATCATCAGAGACAACTGGGCTATTGTGCTTACTGGTATCATCAGAGACATATATAAAACACAATTCAATCTAATTAAAATATAGATCTCGGATTTCGTTATACTACGTTATACTATATTTTACTAACGTAGTATAACGAAATCCGAGATCTATATTTTAATTAGATTGAACACAATTATGACTGGTATTATCAGGGACATATACTACAATATATGTCTCTAGTATTATATACTAGAGGAGTGGACAGGGGTAAGGGAAATAGGGAATGAGGTGGCGGGAAGCGGGAGTCATGGGGCGAGTACCAGGGAAAGAGGTTGACTAAAAATTGGGATATTCTGGGATAAGTTTTTTGAACGATTTTCGTCTGAGAGTAAGTGGAGGGAAGTGGGAATAAGGGACCCCCTGTCCACCCCCTCGTACTGGATGCCATCTAATTATAACCATCAAGATAACCCCTTAAGAGTGCTGATATAAATATATATACATAGATATATGTACAAGCACATGTAATCGTATAATGAATATTTGTCTAGGTCTGTTTCGGATTTCATGTTACAGAATTGAGGGGGTGGACAGGGGGTACCCTTCTCCTACCGCCCGCCCCCTCCTCCCACCTCCCGCACCCTATCTCCCACCTCCCACTTTTAGAATCTTGTTTTCTCTCCCACCTATATTTTGTCTCCCACCTCCCACCTCCCTCAAAGCTGTCCACCCCATCAGAATTAAAATATCCGTAAAATCTCAGTGGCTCTTTGTTTCACTTTTCAGTGTTTAACATTTTTTTATTTTTGATTACTGAGCATATATGCTTCGCACATGCTGCGTACTGACCTATCCCCAGCTAAGGGTCAAATTGAAGATCTCATGAATACGGATCATCATGCAATGAGGTTGATTTTTTTTACTTACCGGCACAGTGGCAGATCCAGGCCGGGGTTCGGGAGTTGGACATCCCCCTGTTTGACAACTAATTTAAATGCTAATGGTTGGAACTCCCCCTTTTTATATGACTTGCATGTCACGGTTGGAACCCCCTTTAAACATGGCTGGATCCGCGCCTGTTACAAGCTTATTTTGAACCAAAATGATGGCTACGAAAGCTAAATATTATTTCAATAGTCCGCTTTCATAACTATTAGAAAAAAGAAAATTCATTAGTTTTTTGGCTAAATCGTACAAGTCATAGCTAATATGTATGCCTCTTAAATATGTTAAAAATCATTGGTTTATAGAAGATAGATTAGAAAAATTTGCATAAAAACTTTTTAAAGTTTAGTATAACATGATAAAATAGGAATAAGTGGTATTTTTCACCGTACGGATGAAAAAAATCTTGTGCAATTTATCTTGAAAACAAGCCGGCCTGTTCTTTTACTAACAAGATAGAGATCATCAAGCTCCTGTTATGGAAAAATAATTTTCTCTTATCCTCTCACCCTTTATGTGTTATTGAATTGTGTATTTTTTTACCTTTAAGTTTTAATGAAGAATATTAACGACGAAAATGAAAACCATGGGATAAATACGTGATATCTAGCTTACTTAAAAGTCATTTTCATATACGAATCTGGATTAATTCCCTTGTATTCCCGTGGTACAAAATAGCATCTGTATTTGTTATTTATTTTATTACATGATATAAATTTTCACCACAAAATATACAATGTGTCAAACATCATTTTAAAAATGATAAAAATACATATTAGAGTTTTATTTGCGTTTTATTTGCAATGTTTGTTTCCATATTTTACCTATATACAAAGTAGTTCTTTAAAAGAATTTATTTAAAACATAACCTTTGATTTGCGTCATCAGGTAGAGTTAATTCTTACCTGCGGGGCTTCGGCCCTTCAGACACATGATGATATTGGGCGATGAGTTACCTGTGACTTACAACCCACAGGTTCGCTGGGACTTGCAACGCTCAGTGGACCTAGTCTGATCATCTACCTGGTGACCTTTTCTAACATACAAATGTTAAAACAAAACACGGACGATTTAGCAGTAGTTTTAAATCCAAATTTTAAAACTTTTCTAAAGATATAGTTTAATTTTTATGTTGAAGAAAACTCGTCCTAGTTGAAAAAAATAGTTCACACAATTTTTATAAGTCTAAACCGTCAAGTGAAAAAAGGTTTAAAAATTAGTATTATATGTGATGTATAAAAAAAAAACAGCTACTGTTGCAGACAAATCGCATGTCTGCATAAATGGTGACTGAATATGGTAAACCATCACTTATAACACCAATTACAAGACTGGTCAACAACGACGGTTTATTGAAGCATATATTTTCAAGATATCATTATGAAACACAAGTCATACAAGTTTTACAACCCTTGTACAAATGAGTAATCCTTTCATAAAAAATAATTATCATTCTGTCAGCATACTCGGATTACACCAAAATAGATATGAGCCAAGGCTTTACCCCTGGCCCAAGAATTATTTTACAAACACCAGGGGCGGATTCGGGCGGGGGCGTGGCGGGCGTGCGCCCCTTAAAATTAGCAAAGCATGGGTTATCCTCAGCTTAATAAAGAATATTTCGATAATTTTACCTCAAAAAATTTTTCACCTCGCTCCGCTCGGCAAGAATTTAAGTTTGCGCCCCCCTAACCTAAAATCCTGGATCCGCCCTGAACACATCCTTGAAAAATACATCTTGGGCAACTCTAAATTAAATACTTGTTCTCGGCGGACTTTTGCGATTTTATTTTTTTATTATTTTCCACCGAAATGTATATATTCTAGCACGTTATATTTAGTAAGAGGAAAGCATATTTAATTTTTTTCTACAGAACTTCTGTTTTCGTCAAATTTTTCCAGGCTTCAGTGAGAGTGATTTTATATTTGTTATGCTTCTGTACATACTTCAAGTATCTATATATCTTTATTCTCAATAAACCATCATTTTGACAAGGTATCGAGCAGAGTTGCAAGTCCAGACCCGATAATGGTCTTGTTTTGTGATGAAACTGCTAAACTGTAATAAGTAGATATTGATTACATTGATTGATTGATTGCAGTTTAACACCTCTTTCAGCACATTTGTGCTATTTCGTGGCGGAGGGAGCCGGAGTGCCAGGAGAGAACCACTTTGATTACATGTGAAGTTTTAATAATCATATCAAGAATATATGTAAAAAAGTTGTGCAACAGTTGAACATATATTTTTAGCGTTTTGGTGATAAATTCAGTTACCCTGGAAATAGTTTACTGACAATTATAGTATTCCAAGAGTAAACTGAGTAACTGACCCCTTTGGTCACCAAAAGAATAAAATAAATATATTATGTTTCTCACGATTTATATAATTTTTCAGCCTCAAATTGTCCATCCAAAAAAAATCTTTGATCATATAAAAATTATGTCCCCTTTCAAGATTCCTGGATCCGACCCTGTCTACGGCACTCATTCTCGGACATATTTAGAGCATTCTAACCAAAGTAATAGCATAGGCAACATTTCTGGCAAGATTCAGTGGTGGATCCAGAAATTTTCATAAGGGGGGTGGGGGGGGGGGGGGGAGAGGTGGTGGCCCACTGACTGGCTTAAGAGGGGGCCCGCTTAGTCGTACTTCAGTGATTCCCTGAATAATCAACAAAATTTTTCCTTTAAAAGGGGGGCCCCCCTAAATCCGCCTCCGAGTTTGGTGTCAATGGTTCATAAGTGTCTAATTAACAGGACCAATTGGATACAAAATAGTCGCAATGATATATACAGCCTTGGTTGCTGAATGTGGCTTTTAAAACAAAAACAAAAAACAAAAACGGGGCAAAATGCAATTGTTCTATTGTAAACTTTGAAAAATCCTAGTTGTAATTTTATATTATCAATCTGTAACAAATTTGTTAAGGAACTTCACAGGAACATACATGCCATATTGAAAGTTTATTTCAATTGGTCCTGTGCTTCTAAAGAAGATGTTTGAAAGCAGGACAATTTGGCCCCTGTTTTTGCCCTTGAAACCATGATAGACTTTTCATACAGATCAATGTATTGGAAAAACACTTGGAAATAACATTCAACGGAACATAATTCTGCAATGTTTTTCATTTTATTAAACCTCTACAAACAAAATTTGGGGGATTATAGGAATCACCTTGTCCGTCTGTCCCGCTTCGTGGCCAGTCATAACTTTTGTACCATGATTAAACTTAGATTGATCAAACTTGGTATGCAGACTCATCATGGATTTGGGGCGTGTCATATACCAGTCGGGTCAATCTGACCTTGACTTTGACCACTATTAAAATAAATTCATGTCCACTTCGTGTCCAGCACATATCTTTTGTATCCTAAAACTTAAAAAACTTAGTTACACCAAACTTGGTATGCAAATGTGTAATATATCAGTCAGGTCACACTGACCTTAACTTTGACCTTTGACCCCTATGATAGTATAACATTGACTGATTTGCATTCGGTGCAAAACTTTTGTACCTTAGCAGATTGATTAAACTTTGTATGCAGAGAGCATTATTGGCTCAGGATGTGTCAAATACCAAAATCAGGTCACTCTGACCTTGACACCTATGATAGTTATTTGTGTTTTGGGCATAACAGTTCTCTGGAGAACGTAGGATGACCTAACTAAGTCAATCTAAGTGTGCAGATGCATTAAGGGAAGTTGATTTGTCAGTAAGATTAGGTCATTCTGGTTTTTTCCTAAAAAAAGTATTCTGATCCCCAATTTGATGAAAAAAAATATTGTGGTCAAGCAGATGACAAAATAAATATTCTGAATCCTGATTTTACCCATACCTTATATTGTTAAATTTTGAAAAAAATAATTTGATTGATAGTGTTGAAAAACTAAAAAAAAAATGTTCGCGCTTTGCTGACTCAGACAAAAATCCATAACCCCACCCTTGAAGTTAAATGGTTGCTCCCTTATATAAAATGAATAGCTGGAAGCCCAAAATATCAAAATGTCATTGTCTCAATACAGAAATTCACAGCAACAACTTAAATGCATGTATAGGAGGGTATAAGTCCCTTTATGCAGACGGTTCTAGTTTCAGTGTTATATCTAGTCTCACTATTTTTAATATATACCACCTTTGATAAGTGTTAAGTATGACAATAAATTTTCACTTTTGTTCTTAACTAGGAACAAAAAAAATATTTATTTTGTAAAAATTAATTCAGTACTCCATGTATACCTTACAACAAAATTATTTTTATCTGTGTACGTTATTTTATTTGGCGACATTTTGTCCAAGGTTATGGTTGTCTTTCTGATATTGTTTTACATCTAACCTCCTTGTCTTATAAATTTTGTATTTAAATTGTGTCATAGATCAAATTTATTCATTCAGTGTATGTTCATTTGTTTTTATTAATATGTCTTTTGATTGAGTTAAGCCATTTCAATTGATATTTTATAGTGTGTCTTTCTATGTTGTAATGTTACAATATTGTTTCAGGTAGGGTGAAGGTTGGCGCCTATTAAAATGTTTAAACCCGCTGCATTTGTTTGCACCTGTCCTAAGTCAGTACCAGTAACCTGATGTTCAGTGGTTGTTGTATGTTGATGTGGTTCATTATTTGTGTTTCTAATTTCTCATTTTTTATATGGATTAGACCGTTGGTTTTCCTGTTTGAAAGGTTTTACACTAGTCATTTTTGGGGCCCTTTATAGCTTGCTGTATAGTGTGAGCCAAGGCTCCGTGTTGAATTCCGTACTTTGACCTATAATGGTTTACTTTTACAAATTGTGACTTGGATGGAGAGTTGTCTCATTGGCACTCATACCACATCTTCTTATTTCTATCATCTTTTTGTGAAAAGGAAAATGTAAATTCCAATAGGATTTCTATGTAAATTTTGACCACCTGGCTGCCATTTTGAATTTCTTATAATCAGCACCAAAATAATATTGTTGAAGCACCTTCACAGGAACATATCTTAAGTTTGGTTTCAATTTGTTCAGCTATTCTTAAGAAGTTTTCCTTAGATCAACCAATGAGAAATTAGAAAAGACAATGGCGGCCATGTTTGTTGACGAGACACAATTTGTCAATAAAGTAACAACACTACTATTTGCTTTAGTGCTCTCAAGAATATATTTTATAAATTGTGTGTAGTTTTTCAGAAATATTATTTGAGTTATCCTTCTAAAAAATGTATTCATTGTTTTTCTTACATGCATCCCAAACATAGTTTTTCGCATATCAAACTACCTTTCATTAATATTGGTTTAATTGTATCACAGGGGTTTGTAACAAACCCCTGTGATTGTATGTTAAATAATCCTGAAAATTTTGTAAAATAAAAAAAAGTTCCCATTTTGCCCTGTGGAAAAAATTGGAATAATTTTGAAGAAAAACTTATAGAAATGTAGATGACCAACAAGGTACCATCAAAAGCATTCAATGAGTGACCAAGGATTTGTATAGTACTATACAAATCCTTGGAGTGACATAAACCAGGAAGTTCAACATACCAGAGACCTGAGAGAAAGTAATTCAAATCCAAATAAACTGCTTCGCTGAGCGCAGCTAGATACGCCCCCAGGGGTCCGACCCTGAACAGTTGGGGCAAAAATGGACACAATATTCAAGCTTGATTCAGGTCTGAATTTGGATTGTAATTAAATATTTGACATATTATAGGTTTCTGAATAAATGTAGTCAAAGAACTTGAAATTGGTTATATGAATTGAATTTATATTCAATTAAAGATTTCTTGCTGTTGTGCAATACTTAGTATATCTGTTGTCAGCCTATAAACAAATAAAGTTCAATTAATTCTCAATGTCATATTAGAAATTTATGAAAATAAAAAGGGAGCTTACATCAATAGATATAAACAATTCACCAAAGTTTCATGAGAATTGGTGACAGCATTTTTGAGTTATTGTCCGAAAACTGGAAAATCACCCATAAAACCCCATAACTTAGAAATGTAAAATGTATAAAATTTTAAAGAGAGCTTA